AGAAGTATGGGACAGGGATTGAGGTTTCAGCAGAGGAGCAGAACATTGGCATGTTTTGGCTTTCTTCTTTTCCTCCTCGTTTCTGCTGGCTGGCACACTGGCTGGTGGGAGTCAGTTTGGGAGAGTAAAATAGATCACTCACTCAGATGCAAGGAAGAAGCAAACCTCCATGAAGCCATGCTGAATTTGATCTTTTTGTTGATTTCAGTCCTGTCTGCCAGCTGCTTCCCAGAAGTGTTAACCACTTTTTCCTTGCATTTCTGGGCAATTTTTGTTCCCTTCTAGTTTCACCAAAGCAATAGTGTAAGACAACTGGAAAACCCGGACTGCATGCAGTGTTTTACAAATACCTTGATAGTGAAAGATAAGGCGTAAATTAAAAGCTGACTGCTCACTTGGAAAATCCATGCCCTGCAGAAACATTCAGCTATGTGAATTTATGAGTGAAAGTGAGCAGGGATAGAAACAGGCATGATAACATTTCTGTAGCTAAGCGAGAGGTCATTGCTTTATGGGCAGATCAATCACAGAGCCATGTTAAAGAAGACTGTCTTTCAGTATGCAGCACAGCAGAGTGAAATTAGACAGCAGCACCTGCCAGAAGGCGGCTTAGTTTTGCTGGCAAATAGGAAAATCAATCCTTTTGCTGGCTCACTGGGAGGTTGTCACAGCCTGCGCTCTGTGGGGTGGGCGCTCCGCCGCTGCCTGATGTTCCAGATGTGCTCGAGGTGCACGACCTCCATCTAGCGGCTGCTGTATAGTTAGTGTAAGGAGAGTGTCCCTGCCTGGCATGGGAGGCATTTCATGGCTGACAGTAGATAATGTTTTAAGCTTTTAAGAACAATGCGTGCATTTTTACTTGCCTGAATGATTCCTAATTAAAAAGGGAAAAAAAAAGATTTTTTTTCTATTTTTTTCCCATTAAGTGGCCCTCCTGTAAATTTTCTTTCTCTGCAGTTTCACAGTAGTCACAAGAAAACTGACATCAAGGTAGTCAATAAACAGAAACTACACATGCAGAAATTGCTGAAGTTAATTCATATCTAAGGCTAGTTTTCAATTCTCACTTGGTATAGCTACAAATCACATAGCACAAAGATACTAATTAATAAGAGACAACTCCTCAACACCATATATTCTCTTCCTCAAATAAGATGGGGTTTTGAATCAAGAAGTAAGAATGCAACATAGAGTTAGGAGGAAAGGATTCTGTTTCCAGATTCGGTTAATTTTCAATGTGATCTTTTAGATCTACTCCTTTAATTCTGACAGTATAAAACTGCAGCATTATTCAGTGCACTCTCTTTTTCGTTATGTCCATTTGCAGAATGAGTTGATTATAGAAAGAAGTTATTTCACAGAGCATGGGGGTATCACACAGTCACAGAAACAAGCAGAAAATCCTGTGTTTACAAAATATGCATAAATATAAATACAGTGTGTAAGATGCATAATGATACTATTGCTCTGTCAATTATGAGTCCTTTCTTATAAAGTAAATACCTTTTATATTCATTAGTTATTTAAAAAATAGGGGTTTGAGAAAAACATGTAGTGAACAAGACCTAAGCCCACTTCATTTTGGTGCTGAATGCCCGTACACCTAATATGAATATGGGTACAGTTTGTCTCTAAGTGCTGTCTTCTATACAGTATGAAGCAAGGGGAAATGTCATTAAAATGATTAAGATTCAATCTCTTTTCCAATATTTCACTAAATCTTTCATTTTCTGAACTTTTTTTCCTTTTTTGTTTTGATAATGACCATTTACAGTTGTAAAACATTTCCAAAGGTAGAACTGTTTATTGCTTTGATAAAAGCAGCGTTTTGAGATTGATACACGTTAAGATATTGATTTATGTAGCTTTAATCTCTACTGAGAAGTGTTTTCCTTCCTTTTTATGATTAACTGTCATTGGGATTAAAGGAATTGTTTTAATTGTTACATCGAAATGTGAAATTTATTAGACAAGTTCAAACAAAAGCACTGAAAGACAAAAATTTTAAAGCTTGTTACTTTATTTTACCTCCTTTGTCATCAGAAAGTTCACGGTAAATTAACCAAGGTTTAGCCATCTACTGAAACAAATGGAAAAATTATCATAAATATTTGCTAGATGTTTTTCTTTACTAACATCTAACAATGTTTTAGATGCAGATGTTGAAATCCTACTCTCAAATGCTGCAAGTTGCCCATGCCAACATGCTGAAACTGATGAGCAGTGTCATAACAACCATGTGTTTAACCCTCTTCATGATTCAAAGCCTTTTCATGACTGAAATGTCTCACTGATGTCTGCAGTTGTGTTGCATGAATCATGATCTGATTTTTGAGGACACTGACAAGAGGTTTTGAAGTAACGGGGCCTGTTGCAGATTGAATAGCCAGGCTCTGCAGGTTTTCAAGCCCTTGTGCCCCGTGACACCCATGTTCCTGCTGTTACACAAACTACAGAGAGATCTACGCTCTCATCTGCCTCTAACCATGGGACTCCTAGCACTATGCTGTCATTATTTAAACCCTTTGAACTAGTAGAAGAAGGCACAATGTCGCTGATTGAATACTGACATCTGTGGAAAAAGAGAAAATTGCCATTTGATATGAAGGACATATGTTAAGTTTCGTATGTGGCAGCATCCCCATGTTTGGTTTTCTGGGATGTATCCCACCATCACTTAAAATTTTGATACTTTCTCTCCCTCCATATGGCTTTGAACATGTTGAGAAAAACAGAGCATGTTGTTGTGAGAGTCTTTTAATAACTTACTCATTGGCTTAAGGAAGATGTAGTCAAATATTAAATAAATAATCAGAAAAAATGGAATTGGTGCTGATTGTCCTTAATTGTAACTTTTGGAAGAGCAAAAACATGCACTAAGGCAGATGTTAACTAAGAATTACTCTTCTTTTTGAAAGCAAAACATTTCATGGTGTTGAATCCCTTACTGTCATGCTTTATTCTGGATCCAGTTGAAAGAGTATTTACAGAGATATTTAACAGCATGGTTCCTGGCATCAGTAATGAAAGCTTTATCATTTTCTAGTCACATATCTTAAGCAAGAATGTATATTCATTAGAGTGATTGCTTTCTAATAGCCTTAAGAACACCTCTACTAGTTATACGCTAAATATGTGTTTACTTTAGTGTCACAGATGAACACATACTATTTAAATTGGGCTAATTGTGCATTTTTGTCCATTCACAGTATTGCTTTACTGTGGCAGATGGCCCAGTGATGTGTTATAAATACTTTGCATGACATCCCCTCTATTTTACTGATCTGCACTGTGACTTTCCCATTGGTAATGACTAATGACAGTTTCCTAGCCAGCAACTTTTAATAGATTCCATTTTTTTCTTTAATCTCTGCCTGTCCTCAACAGCACTGTTTTGTTCAATAATTTAATCAGTTCAGCAACCGTATATTATTAGACAATTGAACCATTACTTTTTGAATTTTTGAAATGCAAAATACCCATGAAATAATCACTGATGAATATTTCAGTATTGATAGAGACCACTCACTCTTCTGAAGAAATGGAAAGGGCTTTGCTTGAATTATGCTTGAATGCTTTTTCTTTCCTTTTACTTTTATTTCTCTTCCTTGGTACTCAGAGCCTATGCAGTAAATAGGAAGGAATCAAATAACTAGAAAAATTAACAGAAAGGATTAACGGTTTTGTCTACTCACCATGCCCATCTTAACCGTTCAACACCAACATATCAAAGGTTTGAGTTTATATAGAAAAAAATTCATTCATTCCTGCCTCCTCTTATCAGTGAAGATTTATCTGCAAAAGGGACACCCTGAAGCAAAACCGCCTCCAGGTTCATCCCATTTTTATTAGCAGACTGGGATGTAGATGCTGTGAAATCAATAGGAGCTCCTTATAGGCTGGTGTGATTTTTTTGGGAAACTCATGGACTCTGAAATTTCTGACCAGAACCCTTCCTTTCTCTGTGAAGAGGATCAGATAGTCAGCTTTCTATCTTTGTGTTGCTAGCAGCTGCTATGTTTTGCTAAGGGCACTGCTCCTCACACTCTCTCTCTTTTATCCAAGACATTTCATGAAATGAAGCAGTAGTGAAGCAGATCGAGCGGGTGGCTGTAGGACAATTCTGTGATTTCACAGCAGTTTGTGAGATTTCACAGTTTAATTTCACAGTTTAATTGTGTTTCTTCTCTGAACAAAAAATTACTTCAAACAAGAATGCCTAACAAGCCCTAACCAGTCTGTAGTTTGAAGCTTTCATTGCTTCAATAAGAGATAAGGAAGAAGGACAAACTGGCTGAAGCCTATTATCACTCAGACATTAGGTTGAGTTTGGATCCAAAGTTTAAAATAAGTAACTAACTGTATAGCTTTTAATCAAAAGTGGTTTCTGCACACATAAACCTCTCATAACTTTCCTTTCATCTTCTCTCCCCCTCCACAGAGTGATATAGGAAGCTCAACTTAAAAATGCTTTTTTAAGGCAACACTTGTATGTTAATGCAGCTACCCACCTGAATTTCAAAACTGTTCAGTAGCTTGCTGTAAGTGCTTAACTGTGTTTGCTAGCATCAGGCACCTTCTTGGTGTATTGCTGCTTACTCAGTGCTGCTGATATTAATAGTGATTTTTTTCACCTACTGAATGTTGATCCTGAGAGTTTTAATTAAATCTGCCTTTTCTCAGGGAAGCTGCAGAAGTCACATTGATGGGACAAATTCTGCCTTTGGAGACATTTACCAGTGAACCCATCTAAGGGATAATGCCCATGGGTCCAGTAAGAGAAAGGAGGCAGTCTGGCCTGTTACAAAACCAATTCATTTTCAGTTTCAAAAGGAAGAAATGTGGAAATGCAGCAGAAAAACTTCTCTTTGGAGGAAGAGAGGAGAGCAGACACCCTTTAGAAAAAAAGGAAAATAAAATGGTTAAAAGTTTATTGTTTGCTGATACTGATAACTTTCAGGGAGGCTTCATGCCAACTTTTCATTTTTTCCCTCTGACAGGCACAAGCATATTTACTGTTTATGAAGCTGCTTCTCAGGAAGGCTGGGTGTTCCTCATGTACCGAGCAATCGACAGTTTTCCCCGATGGCGTTCATATTTCTATTTCATCACCTTAATTTTCTTTCTGGCCTGGCTTGTTAAGGTACTTAAAAATATGTCTTTGTAAAGCAGTTTGAAATGTAGATCTTATTAGATTTAATTTCTTCCCTTTTCTGCTTGCTGAGCTTTGTGTCAGCTACTCTTTCTTGTTCTGTTTTTCAGAATGTTTTCATTGCAGTCATCATTGAAACGTTTGCAGAAATTAGAGTGCAGTTCCAGCAGATGTGGGGGTCCAGGAGCAGTACTACTTCAACTGCTACAACCCAGGTGAAGCACTTGAGATGCTGAGATTCTCTGGGTATTTGATTTGGTTTAGTTTATGAATTAATAATAAGAAAAAATTACTGTTATATACATTTGACTTTGTGGGTTACTACCTATATTCTAAAGTTGATATATGAATATTCATATAAAAGTTAATTCCATTGTCCATATCCGCCTAAATTGCATTATACAACTAGTCATTTTTTAAAAAAGATAGTAGAGAAGATGGTAATGTGGTTCCCTACATGGCTAGGTATGCTATGGCTGTGTTTGTATTTTCTTCTAATAGAGTAGGTAATGGTTTTTTATCATGTCATTGGTGGGTTTGAAATTAGGGTTGCTATTGAATATCACTTTCTGTGCTAAGGAATAAGAGCTGAAATTGCAAAGTTGTAGCTGGAAGAAGAGAGGTCAGAGGGTAGCTGAAGCATTTGCAGAAGTTGGTCTTGGAACTGAGAAGGGTATGTTGAGACCAAGGAGGAAATGAGGTGTTGGGACAATGAAAGAGCCGTGCTAATGGTTGGGGTAGTCACAGAAAGTGAGACTCTGAATAGAGATAACGAGTGAGAAGAAGCCAAGACAGGAAAGGTGCTACATGTGTGCTGCATAGTGGGAAAACCCAGTACGAAAAATGAGAGCTAATGGGCTGAGATTTAAATTCTCTCACTCATTATTTTAACAATCAGGTTATGTGTTCTGAATATACAAAAGACCAGGCTTTTTCGGCTAGTGCAGTTTGCCATCTCTAAGAGGAACCAGTGCAAAACAGCTGTCTGCAAAAAGCTCTTGGGAGGACAGATTTGAGAAACATACCCATGAGGGAATTTTTTCTAACTATGTAGCTAGAGATTATTTATTTTCTTAAATCAGAGGATTTAAATTTTCAAAATTATTTATTAAATATTTTCGGATATTCCTTTGGTTATTCCTGTAATCCATATGTAAATCTAATCCTTTTCCGCCTGCTGCTACATTTTTTGCCTCAAATAGACTTCATGGCAATAATTTCTAATCTATATTTGTCTTTCTCAAAGCACAATGTATGATATCAATTTAAAATCTAAAAAAACCCCCACTTTTCTTCAGACCGCTTGCTTAACCTGGGAAACTTAATGTTCATTTCTTCTCTAATAGGACAAATTCCTGAGCCATATAGGCTTAACCAGCATACTCTGAACTAGAAGCTGGAACAGAGAGATCAATGTAGAGAAACACAAGTAGCAGCTAACATTAAGTAATTTCAAATACCCTGCTGCAGACAATGAAATGGTTGCTTTGTTTCTTGAGTCACTGACATAATGGCACATAAAGGGAGAACAGCTCACCAAACTGCAGGGACAATTTATCTTTTTCTGTTTTAAGAAGGGCAGAAAATTTCTTGCAGGATTTCTTATTCAAAACACCAGATAAAAGTTAAAACCCTTGCTTGTTTTGTGCATGAAATAACCTTGAGAAAATGCAACAATATCTTCCTTCATTTGCCCACTTCATAAAAAATTGAGCTGTTCCCCAAACTTATTCCTACAGAAAAGAAAATGAATGTCCAAAAGTCAAAGTCTACAAAGGGGTCTTGGGAAAAGATACAAGGACGTTCTTGTAAAGCACTGCACATTAAAGCATGGTACAAAGAGGAGTAACTACGACCTGATCTTAGTTGGCAACTCTTCCTGGTGCAGACATGCTAAATAAGGACTCAGAAGCATTACAACCATATTTTTGTGACACTGTCCCCACTCTTATGAGCACTTCTCTCAGAATGACTTTTAAGTTTCAACCATATTCCTTTGACTGTGTTCTTGAGGAGACTTGGTTGAGTGCTCAGTGTCAAGGAAAAGGTGGGAGTGAGATGAGGACTTTGCCACACTTTATTTTATAGTATAAGCAGGTGACAATTCAAAATGCTAGGCCCATTCATTTTCTCTCAAGGACATTTTAAAGGACAGTGTTAATCACTTTCAGACATGTTTTCTGACTGTTTCTTATATCCAGGAATCTGCATCTTTTTGTGTCGTAATTTCTGAGGAAAAAAAAAAAGTCAGAATACCTACACCTATGCTTCCAGAGGGTATTGGTAAAATGTGAATACCACTGTGAAGAGAGCCTTTCCCATTGACCTCATTAGAGCCTGGAAATATTCAGCTACTTACAGGAATTATAAGGCTCTGGGAAACAATACAAAAAGACTGTACAGCTCCCCTTGATATGCATCAGTGCAACAAAAATAAAATGGCCCTTGGAGTCAAATAATTTTTCCAGTAAAAAAGATGAGGTTGTCTGCTATTGCCAAATACACCATGACACTTATTTGTGTGGTCACAATATATTTGTGTTTCCTCAGGGATAAGCTTACCTTAGTAAGAAATTTATTTTGAACAGATACCACATCTAATGATACTGATCAGAGATTAATTGAATCAGTTTCTACATTAGTACTAATAGGGACACATTGTGTTTGATGTTATCTGAGTAAAATTCAGACTCTATTCATGTTGGAAAAAGCATGTTACTTTCTTTTCTGTAGCAGTGAGAACCATTTCTCTCTTATTTTAAACTAACTATCATCAAAAAATATGGTTGTCCTTAAGGGAAATGTATTAGATTTCACTTGTATTTATTGGCACGTAAAACATTTCTGACAAAAATCTTCCCTTTCAAGATGTTTCATGAAGATGCTGCTGGAGGTTGGCAGCTTGTGGCTGTTGATGTGAATAAACCACAAGGCAGAGCTCCTGCATGTCTACAGGTATGACATTGCTTTTTAATAAATCGGTATGTGTAACCAGCACCACTCAAATGTTGCCATAAGAAGACTGCAGTGAGAAATAGCTACAATCGTTTTAGTCATCTTTTTTGAAAAAAAAAAAAAAAATTCATTGCTTTCTGCAGTGTAGACTTGTTCTTGAAAATCACAGATCAGCAAAAAGATATCTACCATACCCAAAGGGAGAGGATTAGAAAAATCCATTCCTTACAAAGGCTCTGGTTTGTGTGCTCATGAGAGAAAGATTTAAGAATTTCAAATAAAAAATAAAATAATTAATCATCTTTTATCTCTCAGAATTTATATACAAATGGTTTCCATTCCTAGGGTATTCCCAGCAGAAATGCTTGTTTATTAAATGCAAAATACAATGGCACATGCCAAGAAGCATGACTAATCATAATAAACACAGAAGTACCTAATTTCTCTTTTTCAGTGGTGCAAATAGGCTCACAGAATAAGGGGGAAGATGGATGTACATATTGAGCCATACAGTGTTTGAAACTTCCAGATTTAATATTCTTACTTGGATATAAGTGAGTTTGTAAAACTCTATCCAAATTGTTTAAATAAATCAAGACTAAGCAATTTTTTTAAATCCATTTTTAGTACAGAACGCTGTAAGCAGCTCAAATTTTTATTTGCAAGTTAAATAATATCATTTTAGGATAAACAAACTAACTTCTGAGTAGAAAGCCAAATCTACTATAACAATCTGATAGCCTGGTATTTTCTGGCAGATTTGGTTATGTTTGGTTTAATGTGTCAACTAAAATACACGCACTTGTTGGCAGCATGTACGTTGCTGAACTCTTAGCTGGCAAGCTACTTCAATCCCCTACAAAAGCTGTTCATTCTCAAATATCTCTGCTTTGCCAAACCACTGCCATATATTTGATTATAGCATATGTCTTAACGGATAATTCCTCTTCCCAAATTTAATTCTTGATTTTGACAGCAACAAGAACATAACTTGTGGTGTTCTCAAGTAACAGTCTCATGTATGTGGATAAAATGTAGCTGAACTCAGAGCGAAAAAAACTCCATATGAAAGTTAAGATGCCATCTGAGTTACCTGGTCTGCCTTTGTCCATAGTATTGCATTTTTGCCACTTATAGGAATCATGTGAACACACATATTGTGTTTCAGTGGACATAAACATCATGCATCAGTGGGTATTTCAACTTTTTATTATTACAGCTCGACTGGCAGTTTTCTTCTCATTCTTCATGCCCTTGTAATATAGGGGAAGCTCTAAAACAGTGCTTTAGTGCTGGTTCTGACATTAAACTGTATGAAGTCCATTAGGAGTCCAATAGTCCAAAAACTATATGAAGGCCATGTCCCAGTTTCCATTAGGAAGTTTAGCCTTCATGGCATTACTGTCTCTGTTGACAAAGAAGCTATATTGATGTTGGTCTTGTCAACTGGGAGACAATAAAGGGGATTGCTGTTCCTGTTTACACACTCTAACTTTTAAATATCAGGTATCGATAGATATAAGACTTGAGCATTAAGACATGATTTGTATAATTTGAAACTTCTATGCATTAGATACTTCTGCATTCATAAATGTAAATATTCTATGTGCTGTAGGACTTTTTTGTGGTTTTTTAACTGCTAGTCTACACATATTGGGTTGGTCTAATGATTTTAAAATGTTCTGATAAATAGATGTTTTTTATTCTACATCAGATCGTAATGAGAGAATTGCAGAAAGTAGATAGTCTTGTCCTGCCCCATTGTTATACCCGTTCAGGGAATGGAATCAAGGTTGGCAGGGGGAAAGGATTTATTATTGATCAGACTCACTTCAGCTGCATAAATGTTTTTCCTGACACAAGAGAGGGGCCAGAACTTTAGTGGGAGTAGTGTGGGAATGTGAGGTGGTTTGTCTGCTGGCCTGTTCAGCCAGCTCCTAGGGATCCCTAAATTACCTAGTCCTGGTGGCTTCCAATCACCCAGGTTCCTCTGTGCAGCTCTCAGGTTTATCCATAGGTACACTTTATATATGTATATTTATATATGTCTGCATATCACATACATACACACATGCATTTAAGATGCATGAATAAAAGAAAACAAGGACAACAATGAACCACTCAAAAAGGTTATAAAAAACAAAACAAAACAAACCCAGGCAAACTTGAAAGACCCAGACAATGGGCTCATGAATCAGAACCTTTATTTTGAAGAACTCTATGTACTCAGGTGGGTGGTGAAAAGGTTACTCTGTTCGCAGCTGCAGGGATTCTTTAGTTGGCAGTGTGGCTATGAAGGGGTACAGAAATGGAGGATACTGGAGAGGTTACTGTCATCCATGGCTATGGGGAGCTTCTAACTACCTGTAGGATAATGACACAGTGCAGAGGTGTGGAGATGTGATTCTCCATGGCCATGATTAGGTTCCATCTACCTGTAGGAACATGATGGGTTACAGAGGTGGTGGATGGCAGGGTACAGATATGGTTGGTGTAATGGTGCTACCTTTGCCCGTGACTGTGATGGGCTTCCAGCTGCCTGTAGAGAAGTCATTGAATGTGGAGATGAAGAGAGGGTGTGGACATGGACATCCCTTTGTGCTGAGCTTCCAGCTACCTGTAGGCGCATGATGGAGTAGGGAGAAGGTACGTGAGGCAGACTTGCCTTTGAACGTGGGGAACTTCCATTTGCCTTTAGGACCTTGATGGGGTGTGGAGATAAAGGGTGGTGCAGAAATAAGAGGTGGGAACCAATAACCAAAGCAGTCACTTTCTATCACCTCAGACTTCTCCTGCCCACCCCACCTGGGGCTCTCCCAGCCTTCTTCGAAGGTTTTCCATCCCATGTGTCTCTGACAGCCAGGAGACGTGACTTCTAGGCCAACCCTCCCACCTACCCCACACTGACATGGGCCACCACCAGTGTTCTAGCCACTGCATCACTATTAATTGTTCCAGGAGCTCATGTAGGGCCCAGCCCACATCTCTCCAGGCTGAAATGATGCGGAGGTCCTTTTTCCCATGGCTGTGAGGAGCTTCCATGTCTGCTGTGACATCACCAGAGCTGCTGCATCCCTGTAGCATGGACCATTCAAGCAAGAAGAAACAAATAGTATTAATAACTGATAATGCGTTGGAGAGAAACTAAGTAGCTGTAGCAACAATTTAAAGAACAACAGCTCAGCAAATATTTAAATAGAAGCAACAGGCCCTATCTGCAGTCTGGTGTTTAAGACTTGTGCTGCTAGAATTGTCAGTTGGAATACTAAATTCTGCTAAAAAAACATTTGTCAAGTTGACTGGAGGTACTATTTGATACATTTGAGATTAAAGACTTGACCAGTACCAAGCCCTGCATCTGCAAGTTGATGATGGCACTAAGAACATCTGTGCAATTCCCACAGTTCATACTGTGATTCTCCCCTGACATGAACCAGAGATTTTGCCAGGGACTGTCCTGTGCTACCCTCTTCAGTTATACACTGGAATATATAAACTAACTTCCATCTCTTTGGTTCATTGCAAAAGTGTTAATATCCTCTTTGACTGCCAGAAACAGAAGCAGTGGACTGAAATTAAACAATAGGAAATTCCCTCCAAACATCAAGAGACAGTGTTTTACTGTGAAGGTGATTAAGTGCTCGCGCAGGTTGCCCAGGGTAGTGGAGGAGTCTCTGTCTTTGGAAATATTCAGTAGCTGTCAGTAGAGAGTTCAGGGAAACTTGTTCTCAGTGTACCTGCTTGAGCAGGAGGTTTGTAGAAGATGTCCTCTGGAGGTCTTGTTTCACAAAACAAAGTCTGTTTTAACTTGTTTATGTAAACTATACAAAATCTTCTCAAAAATAGAAATAGTGAAAAGTATACCAACAGAAAGGTGTTCCCTTGTTTCCTGGATGCAGGTCTTAAGACCCCGAGGAAGAGCAGAGATTAGGTGAATCTGTGTACTGATCAAATTGCTGAGCACTGGAGTAATGTGGTCTGTGGCCTGTGACATTTTCCTGGTTTATATGCTGAACTACAGAACTAAAAGGACTTCAAGCTGTATTTCCACTTTCTGCTCCTCTTCCTATTTACATTTGGTCCTGTCCATTTTTCTGAACTGTGACTGTGGTTTTGTAATCAGAGAATTGTGAGTTTGGAGCCTTTTATAGTACTTTCTCACAGATTCAGATTTCCAGGTTTTAGCATTCCTGAAAAGATAGCATGATGTGCCTGTTCCCTGCGCTCAGAGGGAAGTAGCAGGTCAGCAGTGCAATCTGCATGTGCTTTTGGCAATTCAGCATGGCTGTAGTCACTCCGTTCATGGTCTTATGCCCTGCAAGGTGGATGGGCACTATTCACGCTGCATGGTGTTTATCTGAGGCCCATCCTCTATGGTAAGGTCACCCTCCCTGTCTCAGGAGCTCATTGCTCTCGTTTTAGTTCAAAGTTCTGGTGGGGTCGGGATTTTGATAGCATGAAGACTTGAACCCTGTGTATTGTGGGTTGTATGATGTATTGGGGAGATATAGGACTGTTGGGGACAGTATTAGAGGACTGTTTTTGGTGCATGAAGCAAAACTGTTCTACACTTTGCTTCAGGCAGGCGGAGTGGGTGTAGACTGTTCCCAGTATTTTCTTTCAACATGGCTGCTTCCATTCTTGGGAGCTCCTGTCGCAGCGAGGGAAAGCAGGGACACTCAATATGAGTATCAAGCAAGCTTCGTTTATTGATTATACAGTACAGCTTATATAGGATATATAATGAGATCATTAATATTCTGTAATCGAGCTCTACAATTGGTAACAGCCTTAACAGTCAGCTGCAGTCACACACTGTCTCCTAGAATCTTACATACTAACGCTATTCTTAGCTCTAATATCTATATTTACCACTAGCTTTCACATATGATTGGATGTTCACCTCTTATTTACATTCTTTTCCATGCTGCCAGACTGCAGCCTTGCTGCATTCTGCAACAAGCTCCCGACCAGAAGAAGCCAACATTTAGGGAGGTATT